TAGATAATGACTAAAGTTATACATGTGACTAGTTGTACTTTCATTGATATACTCTGTATATAATATGTAATCTTATATTACTACTAATAAAAAGACATACAGGCGAGACTGCCCTTAAAATTAAAAAAAACAATACCTAAATTATAAAATTCTAATATACATATACTATGTATCAGTAAAATTCTTATAATGCAATATACTTATCGCTAACTTTCTTTATACAACTCAAGCACCTAGTTGTATATAGATAATTATTTATTAATATATGAGTGCTACAAAGAAAAATCAGTTTTTGGATATTTTACTTTACAAGACATAAGCTTACCAGACTTTGAAAAATCTAATAATATCGATTCAAAAATGAATAATTTTTATATGTATTATTACTTACTATTATATACTTACTATTATATAATTATTATTACTTTTTAATATTAATATCTAATTTTTTATATAATAGGTAATAAAACTTATGCTTGAAAAAGCAACCTTGATTGGCAGAATTAAGCTTCAGAATTATGCAAATAAGCAAGAATTAATAAAAATGAATGAGAATAGGTAATAGTTAAAACATTAATATTGTTTGCATAAAATTATTATATTGCTTATTTCATATATTATTTTTTAGAAGTAATAAGTCATATCTATTAGTGTTAAATCTGAAATTCAAAAATTATATTTGGCAGTATCAAAATATTTATATAGATGATATAAATAAATTAGCTAATCTTGCTTTATTAAAACTATTAACAGTAACAATACTAAATAAGTACTAATAAATTTCCAATTTTGAGTTCTAAACAGATAATATATCCAATTATTATTTATATAAACATAATTAAAGAAACTAGATAAATTATTCATATTAGTTATACCATAGTAATATGTTATTACTATTAATGTTAAATATATAAATTTAGTAGATTTAATAGTTTAAAATTTACTTTAAATTGTAAATTATTTGTTTTTTATAATTTAACAAATTATTAAGCTTAGAAGATTGACTGTTTAAAAATAGCAAAAGGTTATCACTACTATTATTAATTTTATTATTACTAATAAGGTCATTTGAACCAAATGCTATATAAATAGGAATGAATTAATTCTTAAAAGACCAAATAAAAACCAGTCTTTTTAACCAGTCTGTGGTTTTTTGGTCTACAGTCTTGGAACTAGTTCAAACTAATCTAAAAATAGAAGTGAGTATTTTTTTTTATAGCTACTTTCATAATTCCTAAAACATTTAATAAAAATTAACCAAATGAAGTTTTGGCAGATTTGATTAAGTTTATGAATTTAGCATAATAAATTCAATGCTAACTAATATAATTTATATACAAAAATTACATATTAGAAACTATACAAATTTCTGTTCTATATATAAAGTATATATAATAATTGTTCTACAAATAATTTAATCTTATAAATATTAATACATTAAATATTATTTTATTTGAATGCTTTCTTAATATGTTTAGTATATAATGTAATTTATATATATACTAATCATACCAAAATTAATAACTTAACCTAATTGGCTGAAAAATCATTCAGTCAATTCTTATCAGGTGTTTCAAAAATTATAAAAATAGACTGTATCTAGTAAACTGAAACTTAATAGTACATATTTTTGTTTTAAAAAATAAAAAATTTAAATTTTTATACTACTACAGTCTAGAATTAGTAAATGACTCAAAACTAATTTAAACTTATTGTATTTACTTAAAAGGCTTCTATATGGCCTGCAAAATAAAATTAATAGAATTAATCTATATTTAAAATCTTTTAGTTTTGAACAACTTCTAAATAAAGGTTTTAAATTACAATCTACCTTCATTATAATGAAATAATTAGATTAGAATATTATAATAAATATTTGTTACAATATTTTGTAATATAATTTAAAATATTTTAAATAATTATTTTATTATAATAAGAATCTGTTTAACAATCTATTATAACAAAGGTAAAATGCATTGATTAAGTATATTTACATTGAAAATAATTTATATTGTGAACCCGATTTTCAGGTCACGGGTTACGGGGGCAGTGACCGTATCGAAGCGACGATCCTGACCCGATCCGAGATCACACGAAAGTGATGGAAATGTCACTTACGTTACTTACGTCGCTTCTGCTTCTTCGCCCGTATATGCGTTAAATAAAGGATATGCTTGTTATTTGATTTAAGTAGGATATAGCGTATAAGAAATATATTGCGTTTAAGAGAGAAATTAATTGTAAATGTAAACAAAACGTTTATTATAAATAAAGGGCATTTTTGCCTTGAGGAAAAATAATTTCCCCACTTCCCACATTGCTAATAATAAAATCGTCCCTTATAATCGTAATAAAAATACCACTTGCATACAACTAAGTACCCAACCCCTAATAAACGTATTACCCTACACGAACTAATAAACTATCGTTAACCCCGCCCCTAACATAACCGTTCATCCATCAATCACCAAAACCACAAGTCGATCGCTCATACGTCACGTGATCAAGTCATCACCGAAATAGAAGAGTTCCAACCCCGATTCGATGTAGTGTAATCCCGGATTGAGGCATACAAAAGAAGACAAGAGAAGACAAGAGAAGTAAAAGGTTAATAGAAGAATAGATTGAAGGAAAGACAGACAAGAGACAACAAGCACTTACCTACGAATAAACCACCAGCCATAGAGTTGGATTAGAGTAGAGACAGACTTGCTGAATTCTGAACCATACCATAGAAGCCCGATTCTTGCGATTATTATTCTCTCCCGTAGTAATATTACATTTCCGTCCGGCTGTTGTATCCTAAAGTACGAGGATCAGCCGTGGTTGTATCGTTCCATTATCCCGAAGGATTGAGGATAGTGAGGTTATACGTTGTGTTCAATTACCCAAAGTAGTGAGGTAATTGAGAATTAAGTTAGTAACAGCTCAAGATTAGAAAAACCAAAGACCTAGAGAAAAGAAGAATACTTACCTACGGATCCAAACCACCGACCAAATCTAACACACCTATTTCGACTTAGCCGCCATAGGTTACACGAGAATTTGGATTGTGGAGTGACTGACTCGCCGTTTCGCCCGACAACAATATATTAAACCTTAGTCATATCTTAAAATATAATAATGTTATCTTTTTAATTACAAAATATAATTATATTACATAGATTGTATGATAAGTTTTGTCACAGTACAAATATTTCAATTTTTTATTAATTTGAATGAAATAAAAATTACATCATTCCTTCAAAATACTTTCCACCAACTTCTATGCAATGTTTGAGTCAATTTTGCCAATTCTGAAAACATTTTTCATATTCACTATTTGGAATAGAATTTATAATTGAATTTACAGCACGTGCAAGATTTTCAATTCGTACAAAATGCTGACCAGTCAATTCTTTTTTTAATTTTGGAAATAAAAAAAAATTACATGATACTAAGTCTGGACTATAAGGTGGGTGGGCAGCAAAATTACACGTTCTTGCCTCAAATAATCAGTAACAACATCGGACTTATGTAGAGAAGCATTGTCATGATGTAGCATGATATTTCTTATGCTTTGCCTTCTTTTTTTTTTTCTAAAATTATTAAAAACTTCAGGTAATACATTATTAGCATAGAACTTAGAGTTAACAGTAGAACCTTTTTTTACGACCTTACAAGCCACAGTGCCATCTACTAAAAAAAAAATAGAAAATATACATTTTTTGCTAAACCTGGCTGTCTGAACCACTTGTGGTCAGTTTTCTTCTTTTTTGACCCATTGTTTGTTACTTTCTTTACTAGAAACGATAAAAAAATGGATTCAGGTTTCATCACCTGTAATTACATTCTTGCATCTATTTTTTAACAATTTCAAAAGCTTTCGAGAAACCTCAACACATTTTTTTTGTTTTTTTCAGTTAAGATGTGTGGTACCTATTTTGCACACATTTTGCGCATACCCAGCTCTTTAGTAAGAATATGGTTAATTCATTCTTGGAAGATACCCACAAGGTTAACTAATTCTCTAATAGTTGCGTGGGGGTCTTCAATTACCATTTCCTTGATTTTGGCAATGGTTTTGGAAGTGGTTGCTTGGCGGGGAGATCCAGGGTGAGGCTTGTCTTCGATGGATTCATTTCCATTATTAAATGCTGAAACCCAGTGTTCATTGTACGTCACAACTTCCTTCAGCAGCATCCAACTCAGCATGGATCTCAGATATGCTTATACCATTCTTCCAGCGAACATAGATATAGTAACGCTGGTGTTGGTGGCTCATTTTCTCTCAATTGTTTTTGAAAGAAATTTTGATTTTTTTTTCACACAGATTTTTATATTAATGCAGATCTTTTTTTTTATAGGTTAATCATGTTACGTAATACATACATTACATAATTTTTTTTTTGGATAAGCTTTGATCATTATGCAGATACAACTCCTGCAACAAAACTAATTATTCAACCCACATATTATTATCTATTTTTATCATTTGCATAATAAATGTAATTTGATTAAAAGATTTGATTTTTTTAATAAAATTAAATAATATACAATTCAATTTTTTTTTTAATTAATTATTTTATCATGTATACAATTGATGAACTTCTTATTACTTCTTAAGAGAATATAAATTCTAATTTTTTAAATTTTAAAATTGACCAAAAGGATGAAAATTTTGAACTTCAAAATAGTAAGAAAGTGAATTATCAATAAGTAGTTATTTAGATGAATATGTTAACTCAAAATCTCAAAAAAAAGAAATCTATACTCATTTGTGTAAAATTATTTTATAAAAAATAAATCTATATTACTAATATATAAAAAATATAAAATAAAATTTGGAAATGAACAGAATGTTTCAACTTTAAGGTAATGTTGCAAATCATCAAAATTTTTTTAATCAATTAATTAGTTAACTATTTTCTTAGTTACAACTAATCAATTAATTATTAAGCTGCAATTAATTAATTAATTAATAAGTAATAACTAATTAATTAGTTGCAGCTAATTAATTAATTGTATAACAATCCAAAAAGTTCAATTGATTAATTGTCAACTTTTCAACTAATTAATTTTTTTAATATTTGATTTGTAACACTACTTTAAGATGATATTTAGAAATACATAATATTATAGTATCAAAACAATAAAGCAACAAACTCACATATGAAAACCATTATATTTTCTATTCAGTAAAAGAATGACAAGAGCATAATAATATAATAAAAAATAAGATATTGTGTAATTTGCAACCCTTTGCTATTGTTAAATGCAAAGAATAATAAGATATAATAAAAAAATTTGATTCACATTATTAGTTTTATAAACATTATACAAAAAAAGATTATATTACAACTCTATTTGAAATTAAAAGAGAAGAGATAAAGTTAATGCTTTCTTAAATTCCTAAAAAAGTATCTTTTACTTCTAATATATAGACTGCAGCAAATTGTATTGCATTTCTAAGTTTAATAATCCATTATGTTAATTTATTATAGAAGCTTGACAGTTTCTCTTAGATATTATTTTAATAAAAGTGCACTATATAGTTAGTATTATAAATTTTAAAATTTTTTTATTAGTTAGTTAGTTAATTATTTTTTGATTAACAACTAATTACAACAAATTAATTAATCAATTAATCAATTAATCAATTAGTTGATATCTAAAAAATTCAATTGATTAGTTGTCAACTAATTAAATAATTGATTTTCAACTTTTACTCTATAATACTATATACAGGGTCCAATATGACTAAGGCTATAATGAATGTTCTTTATGAATTTGATTTGATAAAAAAAACTTTAGTCTTTACTACTAATAATGCATCTTCGATAATTGTCTATGATAAGCTAATAATAGAAGAACTTAAACAAGAATTTAATGATCTTGAGTTTTCACATTACAGATATATGACTCATATTTTAAATCTTATAGTTAGTTAGAGAATTTACACATGTAAACAAATTAATTACAAAAGTTAGAATATTAATGTCTTTTATTAAATTATCAAAACCAACAAACAATGCCTTAAAAAGGCTTTGTAATATGAAAATATTACCTATTTTGTATCTGAACTTAATATCAAGATGCAATGAAACTCTACTTATTATATAATCAAAAACTTAAAAAGATTAGAATCTGCATTAAATTTGCTTGCAACTAATGACCAAACAGTTAAAGAAAAGTATTTGAATGTAGAGAATTTTATTAACATTAATGTAAATATAGTTTTCATAACTTAATTTTTTTTTAAATTTTTATTTTTTTTTATTTTTTATATTTTTATTTACTTGTTTTTTTTTTAAAAAAAAATAATATATTTATTTTTCTTGAATTGATAGAATATGTTATATATTTTTTATTTGCCTCAAGTCATTCTATATATAATAATGTTCAGTTTGTTGTTCTTAGTATTCAAGAGCATTTAATTTAATATAAAAATGATTATATTTTCTTAAAAACTCAAATGACTAATGCAATATATCATAAATTGGAAAACTACTAATTAATTCTTGATAAATCTTCTCAAATTTCAGCATTTCTTGATTCATAGATAAAAATGTTTATATTCAAAACTAAGAATGAAAAACATTAAGTAATTAATTTAGTTTTAGGATTAAGTAATCATTTATCTAAAATGTTGCAAACAAGCATTACTAATAATTTAAGAAATAATAGAGACTATTTTTGTAATCTGTATTCTATTAACATGTCTTTTTCTTTTATATATAATCTATATTCGACAAACTGCATCCATAAGAAAATTAATAAATATTTCAAAATACCTTTGCTTAGTCATGTTAATCCTCTATGTTGGTGACAAACATAATGTTCTAAGTACTCAATATTAAGCATTATCACTTGTAATTATTTATCAATTCAAGCAACAAGTGTTGCTTCAGAACAGGCTTTTTTAATTGTTAGAAAAACTATTTTAGAAGAAAAGAATAAGTTAAATAAAGAGATAACAAGATCACTCCTTTGCTTAAAAAGCTGGATCTGTAAAGAAATATGCTAAAATATAGTATATCGATTGCACTATGCATTATTACTTTGCTCATTTGTTTTGAACAATAAACGTTCATATATTGACATTTTCAAAGAATAAAATAAGTTTTTTTATTGAAAATTAATTCTTATACAAAATTTTCTACATTAAACATAAATAAAGTTTAAAATACAAAGAAATACAAAAAAAAGGAAAAGGTACTAGAAAGTAAAATACAAGGTATAAGAGCAAATTGTAAACGCATACAAAAGATAAGTGACAATCACGAAATATGAGTATAGATTTTTTTTAAGATATTGATTAAGATTCGATTTGATTGGTTGTTAGTCACGTGCTGGCACTCAAATTTCGGTGAGACCATGAAAGATCGTCGTATATGCACCAATCGGATTTTTTTGAACGATCGTCTCCAATAAGATCATTAGATCAGGTGTAACGTGAAAATCATGCTTTTTTAAAAAAACTGACGATAACTAAAAATTTTGACTATGAAACCGCTTTCTGCGCTCTAATAAAAAAAATTCCATGTCAAATTTTGATATAGAATATGCATATTGTAATCCCTATACCAAGCCTAACATGAGGTTTTAGTACTTTAAAATATTACGCATATTAAAGTTGTTTTGATTATTCGAAAAGATCTGATTGGT